TGAGTTAAAAATGTTGATATGGGCCAAAAATATTGAAGTTTGACTGTAATTTAGCCATAATTGACTTTTTACCCAATATAGTTGATTTTAGGTCATCTGATCAATTGACTGAGCACACTTGAACTGCAAGGCTTGAAATTTGACATGAGCAATCTTGAAGGTCCATAATGATCCATGAAAGTCATTTGAGACATTAAAATTTCAATTGCCCTTATGAAAACTTAAACCCTAATTTTGGAGGTATCAGTGTTGAGGAGATATCTTGACCTAGTCAATCCTTGTGCAAGCTTGAGTCATTGGAGATCTTGTGTGAAATATCTTGAGAAATGAGAGAGAAAATTTTGGGGTGAAACATAAAGCGTCTTACAAGTTTCCTTCTATGATTGTACGATGACTCACGCTTTCCCTAACATCCAATGATAGGGCTTCCTACTAAGTAATGGTAGGATAGCACTATCTAAAGGAGGAGGAAAAGAACAAAGACCATTGAGTAGGCAGATCGCTCGTAATCTCTTGCTCACAAAATAAAACAATTTCCACACTTCAAACTTTCAAAACAAACTACATTCAAAAGGCTTTATAAACACTCTTGAGGACTGATACAAGGGTTATTATAAAGTAAATTGCCTTACATTGGCATCTTCAAAACACTTTTCACAAAACAAAACTTTCTTTCAATAAATATTTTCAAAATAAACATTTTGTATACATTCTCAACGATATGAGAATCATTACAAAATTGATGCATTTAGACATTTTCAAAATATTTTCAAACATACGCAAACACAAAGCATTATTTCAAAGTGACCTAGCAATTAAGAGCCTGTATATAACTACGGATGAAAACGATGCTAACACCTTCCCTTTTCATAACCTACCCCCCGAACTCAAGAAAGTTCTCAAAAGGACTTTCATGTTCTTTCCTTTATTGGATAAAAGAAAATTCGATGGCAACTCTTGATATCCGCAACATTTGATATAAAACGCAAAACAAAAGTCTGTTCTCCCACCATATTACACCTTCATAGTTAACCATGCTTCAATTAGGACTTTTTAAGGTTGTAACACGGTCGTGGGTCATGGTTTAAGAAGCAAAGGATATAAGGCTCAAATTTATTTTAACCCACCCCATTCTCCTTGATGTTCTCTAATCATAAGTTCAATTAATCCAACAGATATGTTCAGTCTTTAAGAGAATTTTCGTAGTTGTAGTGATGATGATAAGCATTGATAAAGATCCAAGCACCGATGAAAAGCATGGATAAGATCCAAGAATTGATAAGATCCAAGAATTGATGATAAGCCTTGATGATTCTTGAGGTGGAAGTCATAAGATTGTTCTCCAATTTATTTGTTTTCAATCCCTTATTTTTGCATAGACCGATTCTTTTGAATTTTCCAGTCCATCGGAATGCTCTAACTTTTGCGTAAGTCAAAATTTTGATTTTCTTTGACTTAGCAGGATTTTTTTAAATTTTTATTTTTTACTTTTTGATTTTGAACATTTGTGACTGCCATGCTAATTATTGTAAGTTTCGTCTTTATCGTTTCCTCGATCTTGAATGATGTATTGAGGAAGAAGACGTTGCGGACTTTATCTTCATCGATTCCCCATTCTTGGATTATGGATGAGAGGAAAAGGATGTTCTTGAACCCTTGCTTAGATTGTTTCCTCAATCCTGAATGATGTATCGAGGAAGAAGATATGCTTGATCTTTCACTTAGATGCACTTGATTCTCCCAAGATTTGAATGCACCATTGAATTAATTGAGATCTACCCTGCCCCTGGTTGAAATTAAGGTTTTTTTAGAAAATAGATTAAAACTCCAACTCTTGGCTCGAGGGGGTTGACTATAGATTAACTCCTTATTTCTCCACTGTTTAGGAATTGAAACAATGTCTTACATCGTCAGCTCGGTCTTACCCTTGAAAATATAGTTTAGCAAAATTCAGTTATTTAGTTTTCATCATTATCCCTCAAAGTTTGTTAAAGTTGTGAAATGGAAGATGGAAGTGAATAGTTGATATTTATGGAAAGTGATGTAAGAGTGAAACGAATGGATTGATTTCAAAAACATGCATGCTTATTTTATTTGAATCACTAGTAAAAATATACAAATTTACACCAAATACAACTTAGAAACTTGGAAACTAAAATTTGAAATTGATAAAATATAATGATCCTGTGGAAGAGCTTATTTTTTGATCCACTTGAATCTAGGATATCTCCTTGATGATCTTGGACTTGCCAGAGTAGGGGGTTACCCTTATCTTTTCTTTTGTGGGGCATACCAATTTTGTTGAGAGGGCAATTGTTGATACTGTTGTTTTTGAATCACCAGCGATAATTGCCTCTGAGGCGTTGTGTAGGCCTTGGACTTGTATGAAGAAGGGCTTCCTTCTATCCTTAACAAGATTTGTAGGACCATGCTCACCGGTTGACTTTCTCCTTCAATAACTTAGGAATTTCTTGAGTTCCGTCACAGCTTTCTTGAAGCATGCTTGGAATTTGTTCTTTGAGTATTGGGCAATCTTGCTAGCTGGATTGATAGCGACCGAGGGAGAAGGTGTAAATGCATGAAATGTGAATGTATGAATGTACGAAATTGCATGGGTATGCAAAAAATTTTTTTTGGCTTTTGAGGGTATGCTAAAAATTTCATGGAGACGTAACAACATGCAGACATATGATAAGGATAGACCTAAGCACACCTTATACGAGTTTAGGGATAGAAAACCCCTACAAGCTATGGACTATGACACGAACGGAAGCCCTTCGAGTGATAGTTAAAATAAAACCCCTACAGGCTAGGGATTATGATTTACAGAGAGACACCTTACTGGCTAGAGATTATGATATAGAGAAGAAAAACCCTACATGTAATAGATAGAAGATCCCTTGCAGGTTTACAGATGGTGACAATACATCCTTAGTAGATAGGTCCTTAGTTTCGTCCTACGGATATTCTACCCTCTCCATAAGGCGGCTTCCTTAAGGGTATTATGGATAACACTAGAGGGAAAAGCACAAGGGTCTCCCTTAAACGGAGCCTCATTGTAGCCCAGAACTTTTGTCTCTAAAGTCGTACAAGGTATCGCCGTGAAATTTTGGTTTAGGGTTATACAAAGAGTCATATGTTTCATTTCAAAGTCCTAACCCTCAAAAGTCTAGCTCTTGAGACATATTCCTTTTTTGGAATTCCACCGACTCTAGGAAAAGTCATCACAAAAACTCATAGGGATAAAATATACCCTTGGTCAATAGACGAACCTTCTTTCTAACATTTTGAATTTTTTAATTTAAAATCCCACCACAAATAAATAAAATGATAAACAATGTAACAATAAATAAATAGATAAATAAATAAATAAATAAAACAAATATAGAAACAACACCAAAAACCCTAAACCCAAAAAGGAGAGGCTTCTAAACCCTAGGGTTGAGTTTCCCCAACAGAGTCGCCAGATGTAATAACCGACAAAAAATATATAGTCGCCACCATTAATTTTTATCCTAATACGGGAATATAACGGAATAACCTTAATTGATGATACACAGATTCTAAGTTCTTGACTCACTAGAGACGAAGGAAATGTGTTAGGCACCCTTCATCTAGGATTTAGGTTTAAAGTTTAGGAATAGGGTTTTAATTTTTTTAGTTAGGGGACTCGCCACGATTTTTAAGTCGTATGCCTATGTATCCTCTTATGAGGAATCGGAGTCCTAATTTGTAGTTTCTAGTGTTGTTGGTGTCTTTTTCTAGTATTTCTTAGAATTGATTTCGAATTATCCTTGAACCTTGTCTGGATTGTAAGTTGAGTGATCGTAAACGCACTTCGCAGTTAATTTTGAAAGTAATTGTATTTAATCTTTTTTCAAAAATGTCATGATTTTTATTATGTTAGTAGAAAAATGGTTTGGTCATTGGTTAGCTATTTTAAGTTTTTCATTGATAAAGAGTATGGTAGTACACAGAGCGGGGTGAGGATATTAACGGTCCAAGTTTAGAAATTGAACTTGATCCATTTATGCACAGGGGTGTAAAATTAAGACTATGTGGTGTATTAAAAGAAAATCTGGATCCAAAGATTTTTTGAGCCCAAATTGACTGAGGGGTGTATTTTGACACATGGGAGTCAAATATGAGGGTCTGGCAAGTGAGGGCCCAAGTTCAGATATTGAACTGAGCCCAAAATACATATGGGGTGTAAACTTAGTTTAGTAGTAAAACAAAGGGCTGTGTAAGTAGTAAGGACCCAAGTTCAGAAATTGAACTTGACCCAATTAAGCAGCGGAGTTTAGTAATATGTTTGTAAAATATTAAATTAATTAATTGAGAAAAAGTTGTTTGTATTTTTAATGATGTTTTAGTAATAACCTAAATTAAACAGTTAGTATTAATAAAACATAAGAGCATATTTTTTATATTAATAATTAAAATTAATCTAGTAAGAATAAGAGAGAAATTAAAATCTAAGTTAGAATAGGTGTGTTAATAGAAAAGTATAAACTAGGGCCCAAGAGCCTATATCATAAAAACAAATCTAGTTACAAACCTTAAGAATATAGAAATTAAAATAAGACAATTATTAAAACAATAATCTATATAACCATAAAAAAGAAATAAAATTATGTGTGTTTAATAGGGAAAAATAAAAAGAGAGAATTGTCAGAGAGAAAACGTGGAGATGGTAAGGAAAATCAATTTTTCAATTCTTCTTGGCCAAACAAAACCTCGACCTTTTCCAATTCAATCATAATATCTCCTTTTCATGTGAACCCACATGCTTATCTTTTTATATTCACATAGCAACATCCTTTCTCTTAACATAACACAAAACAAGTTTCTCCTCTTTCTTAACCAAATCAAATTTTCTCTCTTTGAACAACAACACCCAAAATCTCATCTTTCTCTTTTATAAAATGAATATTGTTTTAATAAAATACAACATAGAAATTTGATATTGACAAAAGAGAAAAATACCGTGTGATTCCTTTTTACTGACAGCGACAGTGATTTACGAGTGGCGGTGCTTTGATGCTTTTTCGACGGATCTCGCAATGGCGATGGTGAACAAGGTGGTGTGGCAGGCGAGTGCTTCGTGTCGGCGTGTGTGTTTGTTGGATCTTTTCGACTTGATTCAACAGTAATAAGTCTTTATTAAGTTGTTTATTAGTAGATTTGATGGGGGAAAAATTATATTGTATCATTAATGCATCCTGAAGGCGACAACAACAACTATGGAAACCTGTGTGTAGAGGTTATGTGTGATAATTTTAGAAATTTTGCTCTTCAATTGTGAGAAAAATTTTAAGTGTTTTGTTCTGAATCCTAAAATAATTGTTGATAGGATTGTTGATGGAGACTTCAGGGTTTCTTTATTGTTGTTCTTCGATGTGAAGAGTAATAACTTTTAGGAGAACTCTAGTGAGTTTGTTGATGAAAAATAGTGTGAAAGAGTGACCTATTTATAGTGATAATTAGGTCAACAAATTAAGAAATAAAGTTAATTTACAAATCAAAATTTTCTTGGTCACCAAGCTAACCAATCATAAAATGAATATGGCACAAATTGACACTGATTAACCAATAAAAAATAATTAAAAATAAAAGAAATATTTTTGGTATTTATTATAGTTTTTTGCATTCAATTTGGTAAAAAGTGCATAAAATAAAATAAATAATTTTTTTAAAAAAATACATTAATTAAAAAGTACAAAAACAATATTTAAATAAGAAAAAATTTCTTTTTATGATTTTTTTAATATAAATGGAAATAAAATTAGTAACATATAAATAGAAAAATATGTAATATCACCAAATGAGATTCTAACCCATGACCTTATGTTTGCAAGCTTTATTCCTTTACAATTGTGCTATGTTGCTTATTTGAAATAAAAACTCAATTGAAAGTATATGAAGACGAGTAAGTATTAGTTTTTTTTTTTTAAATTACAAATAAATTATTATATATATTTTTAAATAAATAAAATAATTTAAAAATGAATATTTATAAAAACCAAAAAATGTTAGTGTAAACGAACCAAAAGAATTTTAAAACCTAATTCTGAAAATGATTTTGTCTGTAGCACTGAGACGAACAAATTTGGTGTATGACAAATATATACTGGTTTTGTCAATATTATTAAAAGTTCATAATAATTCAAATGCATGTTATAAGTTTCTGGGAGTTAATTTGAGATTACTGCTTTAAAAATAAGTACTTTTAAAAAGCAAAAACTGGTTTTATCGTGACTGTAACCGGTTATAAGTTTTGGCATAACTGATTACGGTAGGCCAATTCAATTATGTTTTAAGTGTTTGTCGTAGGCGTAACCGATTACGGGGTTTTACGTAACCGGTTACAAACCCGTGTTTTGGGTTTTTTTATCATATTTTTAAGTTTTTTTGAATCCCAACAGTTTTGTTTAACTTGTATAAATAGTCTCAATGTGTAATATGAATACTAATGCAAATTTCTCTTCTCACCCTCAATTACTCTCTCTCTCTCTCTCTCTCTCTCTCTCTCTCTCTCTCTCTCTCTTATTTTCCCACTTTATCTTCCCCACAATCACTAAAATCTCAATTAATCCAATTGAATATTCTAACATTTGGTATTAAGAGTTCTGCTTCTGATCCACAATCTGTTGTGCAAAGATGACTACCGTCTCCAATTATCGAGTCCTCCTAATCTTTTAATCCTTAATTCCAAGAATTAGGATAAATGGTGCAATCAAATTAATGTGTTATTTGGCTATCAAGATGTTCTTGAAGTGGTCAACAATGAAATTACTCCTCTTGTTGCAGAGGCATAAAAGGTTGCACACAAAGAAGAGAAGAAGAAATACTACAAGACGATGTTCTTGATCTATTTTTGCATCGATAAATATAACTTTGAAAAAGTTGGTGATTGTGATTCGGCAAAGCAAGCATGGGAGATCTTGAAGAAATCTTATAAAGGGGATGATAAAGCAAAAGTGGTGAGGTTACGAATTCATAAGCGACAATTTTAATTGGTTCAAATGGAGGAGAAGGAAACAACTAACAAATGTGTAACACATATTACGCGTTAGGTGAATCAAATCAAATCTTGTGGAGAAACTGTTTCTGAGCAGAATGTTGTATTGAAAATATTGTATTCTTTGACACAAAGATTTGACAACATTCTAGTGGCGATTGAAGAGTCGAAGGATCTTATGATGTGGAGTGTAATACGGTGGGAGAACTGACTTGGGTGTTTTGCATTTTATCGTAATTGTTGTAGATAGTAAGAGTCGCCATCGAATTTTCTTTTATCCAATAAAGTAAATGGTGAAAAGAACAGAAAAGACCTTTTGAGAATTTTCTTAAGTTCGGGGGGTAGGTTATGAAAAGGGAAGGTGTTAACACCCTTTTCATCCGTAGTTATCTACGGGCTCTTAGTTGCTAGCTCACTTTGAAATGCTTTGTTTGAAATGTGTTTGTGATTTTTTTTTTAAAGTATTTTTGAAAGTGCCTTCATTTAGGCGAACTTTGTAATGATTATCGTCTCTATAAGAATGTATATAAAGTGTTGACTTTTGAAAATATTTCATGGCAAAGTGTTGGTTTGTTTGAAAGATGTTTGAAAATGGTTGTGAGCAAGCAACTGTGAACGTTCTACCTACTCAAAAAGTCTTAGTTTTCCTCCTCTTTTAGATATTGCTATCTTACCATTGATTGATAAGAATCCCTATCATTGGATGTGAAGGGAAGGGTGTGGGTCATCGTATAGTCATAGAAGGAAACATTCTAGGATACCTTTGCAATTTTTCATAAGGGTATAAGATCGTTTTACTGAAGGAAACATCGAAGGGTCATTGAGGGACTACAATATTATATTCGAGGGTCATTGCTAAAGTATCCCACGTTCGAGGGACATGATTGTTTTTCTAAAGGCAACAAGTGAGATTAACCCTAGAGGTGCAAGTGTGCAAAGTGTTTGTTTTCATGCATTTTTGTCTTGAGATTAGGGTTCTCTATTGTTTTATTTTTATTCTTGTCGTACACACCCTAATTACTAGCAATAATATTGAAAGAGATAAATTGTGGAAATTTAAAGTTCTACGCTATTACATCTTTTTTTGGGATGTGGGATACACATTTACAAATGGGGAATGAAAGAAATTAAAAACCTAATTACTATTACAACCATATTGAATAATGAATAAAAATATAAATATAAAGAAAATATAAAGATAATGTAAAAAAAATTGTTTTAAAAAAAACTTTTATGTATTGACACATGCACTTATGCATTGGCTCATATCTGTTTCTTATTCTTGAAAGTCAAAACCAACTCAGTATGAGTTGATACATAAAGGTTTGCGTTGGATCATAACCTGTTTTGCATCGACACATGCACTTATGCATCAATACATATCATTTCTTTGCTCCTGGAAATCAAAATCAACTCAGTATGAGCCGACATATAATGGTTTGCATCGACTCATTTTTGTTTTGTATCAAATCATTCGTGTTTTGTATCGACTCATAACCTGTTTTGTGCTTAATATGTGTCGACTCATAGAGATATGTATGGACTCATACTGCTGTTTTTTACTTCTAACATTTTTCTGCTGCATATATGAGTCAGTTCTCAACACATGGTTAGTGAAAATGAAAAGTAAACATATGGTTAGCTTCAGGGAAATGATATCCAAATTTTATCTTCACAAATGAACCACTAATGATGCTTGTATGAAGAGTTCAAAGTCAAGAAAACTTACCTTAAAACTGAAATTTGTGTTTTGATTTGAAGTTGTTGTATTGTATTGGAGAGGTCAAGTGGCTGTTTTTGAGTTTGGAGAATGGTGGTAGTGATGTTACAGAAGTTGCTCTTGTGTTTGAACAACTTCTATATGATGTATATGAAGTATATGGATGATTTGTTTAGGGGAAACTTGCATGCTTTTGGAGACTCAAAGGGTTTGGACTTCAAAGCTCAAAGATGGAGGTTTTTATGGATAATTCTGGTTTTTAGAGTATAAGGGGGGTTTGAGGATTTTTTTAATACACAAGAATCTGACCTCTTTCTCTTTCAAGTGCTCCCTCTATTTATAGTCAAGAGGTTTGGGAACAAGAGCTGATTATGTTTGCAAGACAACATGTTATGGTTTGGTTGGGATGCAAATATCAAACTATATCAATTCTCCATAGTCCCAAGATGAAGTACCAAAGTTGATGATATAGAGGGGGATACTTTCCATGATTTATGGTGGAGTAAAATCAGAAGTAAACAAGGTATGGGCTCAAGACAAATTTTGTACCAACAAGCTTGCTTTTCAAGAATATCAATGGTAACTTTTTACCTTAAATGGCAAGTTATTTCAATAATGGCTTACATCTCTTGGATAATGGTCCTAGATTTTGTGTAAACATTAAATTATGGATATATTTACAAGTAAGAAGGCCTGTAACATAAGATTATGTAGCATAGCATGTAGATTGGATCATGTGTTCTTCACCAAAAAGACTTGTAATTCAAGGATGGATGCCCAACTTCATGCCCTTGAATCTCCTGGAAAGCTTGAAACATCCTCTATAACTTTAATGTTTGCCATTTTGACAAAATCATCTTGGAACTATGTGAAAAAATGCCAAGAAGTTGGGATAAAATCCTGACCAAAATCTGTTGAAAATTTCTCTAAGTGTTGATAAAAATGTCATGACTTCAGGAATTTATAACTCAGAATCCAAGAACTTTTAGGACTTGATCAGTAAATAAAATTTGTAGATATAATCAAGACCTACAACTTTCATGTTGAAAGTTTTCTTTGAATCATCTTGCATCTTGGTGAAAGAATGTCATGAAGTAGTGAAATTATCATGTACAAAAACACTTGGGAAAATTTTCTAAGTCTTGAAAAGTTTTACTTTTCTCATTGACTTTTGACTTTCTTGATTTATTGATGATCAAGCTTCATATTTTTGAATATCTTGATGAATTGTGATCTTTTAAACTCAAATTTAATCAAAAACTTAAAGTTTGACTTTTTGGTGTACATTTGACTTTTTCATCAGTTGATCAAATTTCATCTATCAATCCAATGATCTTGAGAAATGTTTTGAGCCATGAAATTATGTAAGAATGTTATATTTTAATCCTTTAGTTTGTACTTTAAGCCATTAGATCATGTATTAAGTCAAAAGTCAAGACTCAGGCATTCTCAATCAAAACCCTAATTTTGAC